AAAAAAAAAAAAAAAAAAAAAAAAAAAAAAAACTAGTTTCTTATTCAAATATTGCTTCTAAGTCAAACAAAGTTTGTCTCTCATTTTGTCTCTGCTTATTTCCACCTCAAGTATTTTTGTAGCTTCTCCCAAGTCTTTTATCTCAAACTTTTGATTCAAATGAGCTTTTAAATGATCAATCTCCACTTACCTGTTAGACGCAACCAACATGTCATCCACATACAAAAGCAAGTAAATAAAAGATCCATCTTGCAGCTGCTGTAGATACACACAATGATCATGTCTGTTTCATTGGTACTACTGCCCAATCGTTAACTTATCAAACCTTTTGTACCACTGTCTCAGAGATTGCTTCTGTCTGTACAACGATTTGTTCAACTTACAAACTCAATTCTCTTTTTCAAGAATTTTGAATCTTTCTAACTGAGTCATGTAGATCTCCTCATCTAAATCTCCGTGCAATAACGGTGTCTTCATGTCAAGTTGAGGTAGCTCCAAATTCAACTGTGCTGTTAAGGTCAACAAAATTGCAGTGGAAGAGTGCTTAACAACTGGTAAAACTACATTATAATCAACTCCTTTCTTCTGAGCGTAGCTCCACCAATCTTGACTTGTAGCATTCATCATTCTTGTGAAGAAATTCATTTGCATCTTATAGCCCTCTTTTCTTTTGGTAGTTACGCCACCTTTCAAGTTTGATTCTTAAAGAGAGACAACATTTCTTCCTCTATAGCTCATTTCCACTTCTCAATTTCTAAACTTCAAATTACATTTTGAAAAGTGAAAGGTATACCATCATCAAGAATTGGAAGTACATAAGTGACCAAATCCATCAATCTTGTTGAATCTCTCGTCTGGGCTTTCTCAATGCAATGGGTAGCTCTAATGATTTTGGGGTCTGAACTTCTTCTTCATCATCCAACCAACCATTTGATATTGGATCGTCGATGATATTTGGTTGTCTCATGAACACATCCATCTCCACCTGTTTTGGTGTCAACTCCACATGTTGGGCATGTGTCGTCTTTCATGTTTTGTTCATCAAATGTAACATTGTAGTTAAACACAAATTGGTTGTCTCAAGACACAAAAGACGATATCCCTTCAGGCCAGTGGTGGTTCCCATGAACAAAGCCTTTTTTCGCTCTTGTGTCTAAATTTAAATCCTTCACATACTACAACATCTATGAGGTATTGCGTGTATGTTGCAGTTTTACCATCTTTTGCAGGCAACCCATTTGTGAGGTATTGCGTGAATGTTACAGTTTCAGCCCAATACTCTTTGCCCAAACCAACATTGAACAGATACATCGAACCTTCTCCACCAATGCTCGATTAAAGCGCTCCATCACCCTTTTGTTGTAGTGTCCGTCTAATGGTGAAGTGCCTAACAATGTCATTTTTACAGCAAACTTATTGAAATGGATCCCTTGTATATTTTCCACCGTTGTTTGTTCGTAGGACCTTGATATTCCTTCCCGTTTGATTCGTAATTTTTGTATTCCATTTAATGAAAGCACCAAACACTTCATTCTTCGTCTTCATAGTCTACACCCAAACACGTTTGAAAAAAGTCATCGATGAAAGTGAGAAGATAACGTCTTCCGCCAAGGTCCCAAAACATCCAAATGAACATAATTCAGGACACGCTTGGTACGATAGATAATTGTTCCAAACTTCATTATTCTGCTTTTCCAGAACACAATGCTCACAAAAGTGTAGTTTGCACACTTTGACATATTCAAGTCTTTGCTTTGCCAATGTCTGCATGGAATTTTTACCAAAATGCCCCAAACACATATGCTACAGTTTGATTGTTTCAGACTCCTTGTCGGTGGAATCTGGTGTTGTTGTATTCACAACAACCGTATCACCTTCATAGTAATATAAGTCATTCCTCATAATGTTGTGGCTTAGGGGGGAAACCCCAATTTACCCTAACCTTTGGCAGCCTGTTTACATACAAAAATCAATTGTCTTGAAATAAATTAAATGGCCCGCCTTCTTATTTATCAACAACCAAACATATGTTTGTATTTATGATTATCTCACAAGACTTATTTTCAGCATCTTTTGATGTATGCTTGTCAGGGGGACTTGATTTTCCAGCAGGGTAGTTAACACATTATTATTTTTTTTCTTCATTTTTATAATTATGGCTGATTTTATGATGTGATGGATTCAAGAAAATTTAATTTCCCTATACAAAAGAATTAGTACAACACCCGTGTAATACACGGCTGATTAAAAGAAATTATGTTTCACAAAAGGTAGAACTACAATAATTTATATAATAATGTAAAAAAATAAAGATATAAAATAAAAAATAAATTAAAAATAAACACCCTTAATTCTTAGTACAACGTACCATAATTCTTAAAATACTAAGATTTTTTTTAATATAAAAAAAAAAATGAACACCCTTAATATACCGTGGATAAAATACCATTATACTAAAATACCGTGAATTTTATGGATTTTTTTTTAATATATAAGATTTTTTTTTATAAGATTCTTAAAAGGTTATAATATAAGATAAAAGGTTATATTATGAAAGTGAGGTTTTTTTTCCAGTTTAATATATTCTCAACTAATTAAAAGGTTATATTAGTACAAGTGTTATTAAATTACCTAAGTTAGGTTAATAATATTTATGGAATGTCCGAACCTAAATTATTAATTCAATATTATTTGTCCAAACCTAATTACGAAGCATGATTATTTGCCAAGTAGAATTACGAAGCACCAGAAGCAGCCGCGTAGGCTCAGCGCATTCGGGAATTATATATAGAGGGGATAGAATAAATAATTAAACCAAAATTTCAGATCCATCTTACAATGATGATGGGGCCAACCCAAGCTTTGGAAAAAAAA